GTGGAGCCTTTCTTCCACTTGCGCGCTTGCATCTGTGCACACCCCTTATCGCCTGGTACATCCGTGAAGCCTTTCTATCACCTGCGAACTTGCATCTGTGCACTTAGAAAAAATGGAATTGTCTTTTTCTGATTCTTTCGTATTCTATTGAATGTTGAAATTTGTCTTTCTTTTTTTGTTCTCTGAAGTCTTAAAGTCTCACAAATCACAAAATATTGAATTGCATTTTTCTGATTCTTTCGTATTCTGTTGAAGATTGAAATTGTTTTTCTTTTCTTTTCTCTTTGTTCTTTGAAGTATTACAGTCTTACAAAATATTGAATTGTCTTTTTCTTATTCCTTCGTATTGTATTGAATATTCAACTTGTTCTTTCTTTCTCTTTTCTTTTTGTTCTCTGAAGTCTTACAATCTTAAAAAACATGAACTGTCTTTGTGTGATTGTTTCGTATTCTACTGAATCTTGAAATTGTTTTTTCTTTCTCTTTTCGCTTTGTTCTCTGAAGTCTTAAAGTCTTAAAAAATATTGAACGGTCTTTTTCTGATTCTGTCGTGTTCTATTGAATATTGAACTTGTTCTTTCTTTCTGTTTTCTCCTTGTTCTCTGAAGTCTTAAAGTCTTACAAAATATTGACTTGTCTTTTTCTGATTCTTTGGTATTCTGTTGATTATTGAAATTGTTCTTTCTTTCTCTTTTCGCTTTGTTCTCTGAAGTCTTAAAGTCTTACAAGATTTCGAATTGTCTTTTTCTGATTCTTTCGTTTCTGTTGAATATTGAAATTGTTATTTCGTTCTTTTTCTTCGCTTTGTTCTCCGAAGTCTTAAAGTCTTACAAAATATGGAATGGTATTTTTCGCATTCTTTCGTATTCTACTGAATATTGAAATTGTTCTTTCTTTCTCTTTTCTTTTTGTTCTTTGAAGTCTTAAAGTCTTACAAAATATTGACTTGTCTTTTTCTGATTCTTTGGTATTCTGTTGAATATTGAAATTGCTCTTTCTTTCTCTTTTCGCTTTGTTCTCTGAAGTCTTAAAGTCTTACAAGATTTTGAATTGTGTTTTTCTGATTCTTTCGTTTCTGTTGAATATTGAAATTGCTATTTCGTTCTTTTTCTTCGCTTTGTTCTCCGAAGTCTTAAAGTCTTACAAAATATTGAATGGTATTTTTCGCATTCTTTCGTATTCTACTGAATATTGAAATTGTTCTTTCTTTCTCTTTTCTCTTTGTTCTCTGAAGTCTCAAAGTTTTGAAACATATTGAACTGTTTTTTTCTTACTCTCTCGTACTCTATTGAATATTGAAATTGTTCTTTCTTTCCTTTTTCTCTTTGTTCTCTGAAGTCTTAAAGTCTTACAACATATTGTGTTGTCTTTTTGTGATTCTTTCGTAGTCTATTGAATGTTGAAACTGTTTTTCTTTTTCTTTTCTCTTTGTTCTCTGAAGTCTTAAAGTCTCACAAAATATTGAATTGTCTTTTTCTGATTCTTTCGTATTCCATTGAATGTTGAAATTGTTTTTTCTTTCTCTTTTCTCTTTGTTCTCTGAAGTCTGAAAGTCTTACAAAATATTGAGTCGTCTTTTTCTGGTTCTGTCGTGTTCTATTGAATATTGACATGTTCTTTCGTGCTCTTTTCTCTTTGTTCTCTGAAGTCTTAAAGTCTTACAAAATATTGAATTGTCTGTTTTTCATTCTTGCGTATTCTATTGGATATTGAAGTTGTTCTTTCTTTCTTTCTCTTCTTTGTTCTCTGAAGTCTTAAAGTCTTACAAAATATTGAATGGTCTTTTTCGTATTCTTTCGTATTCTACTGAATCTTGAAATTGTTCTTTCTTTCTCTTTTCTCTTTGTTCTCTGAAGTCTTACAGTCTTATCAAATATTGAATTGTCTTTTTCTGATTCTTTCGTTTCTGTTGAATACTGAAATTGTTTTTTCGTTCTTTTTTTCGCTTTGTTCTCTGAAGTCTTAAAGTCTTACACAATATTGAATGGTCTTTTTCGTATTCTTTCGTACTCAACTAAATCTTGAAATGTTGTTCTTTCTTTCTCTTTTCTCTTTGATCTCTGAAGACTTAAAAGCCTTACAAATATTGAATTGTCTTTTTCTTATTCTTTCGTATTCTATTGAATATTGAATTTGTTCTTTCTTTCTCTTTTCTCTTTGTTCTCTGAAGTCTTAAAGCCTTACACAATATTGAATTGTCTTTTTCTGATTCTTTCGTATTCTATAGAATATTGAAATTGCTCTTTCTTTCTCTTTTCGCTTTGTTCTCTGAAGTCTTAAAGTCTACAAAATATTGAATTGTCTTGTTCTGATTCTTTTGTATTCTATTGAATACTGATTTTTTTCTTTCTTTTTCTTTTCCCTTTTTTCTCTGAAGTCTTAAAGTCTTACGAGATAGATATTCAATTGTCTTTTTCTGATTCTTTCGTATTCTATTGAATATTGAATTGTTCTTTCTTTCTCTTTTCTCTTTGTTCTCTGAAGTCTTAAAGTCTCACAAAATATTGAATTGTCTTGTTCTGATTCTTTCGTATTCTAGTGAATATTGAAATTGTTCTTTCTTTCTCTTCTCTCTTTGCTTAAAGTCTTACATATAGATATTGATTTGTCTTTTTGTGATTCTTTCGTATTCTATTGAATGTTGAATTTGTTTTTCTCTTTCTTTTCTCTTTGTTCTCTGAAGTCTTAAAGTCTCACAAAATATTGAGTTGTCTTTTTCTGATTCTTTCGTATTCCATTGAATGTTGAAATTGTTTTCTTTTTCTTTTGTCTTTGTTCTCTGAAGTCTTAAAGTTTTACAAAATATTGAATCGTCTTTTCTGATTCTGTCGTGTTCTATTGAATATTGAAAGTGTTCTTTCTTTTTCTTTTCTCTTTTTTGTTTGTTCTCTGAGATATGGGAGAAAAGAAGGGCCAGAAAAGGGGAGAGAAGGGGAGAGAAGATTCAATTTCTTATTGTTCTTTCTCTTGTCTCTTTTTTGCTTGTTCCCTGAGAGGGCGAGAGAAGGGAAGAGAAGGGGAGAGAAGATTCAATTTCTTATTGTTCTTTCTCTTTTCTCTTTTCCTTTAGTTCTCTGAGATATAGGAGGAGACAGTGCGGAGAAGGGGAGAGCAGATTCAATGTCTCATTGTTCTTTCTCTTTTCTATTTTCCCTATGTTCTCTGAGATACAGGAGCAAAACAGGGCGACAGAAGGGGGGAGAAGGGGAGAGAAGATTCAATTTCTTATTGTCTTTTCCTTTTCTCTTTTCCCTTTGTTCTCTGAGCTGTAGGAGACAAAAGGGCGAGAGAAGGGGAAAGAAGGGGAGAGAAGGGGAGAGAAGGGGAGAAAAAAACAATTTCATATTGTTCTTTCTCTTTTCTCTTTTCTGTCTGTTCCCTGAGTTTTAGGAGAAAACAGGGCGAGAGAAGGGGAAAGAAGGGGAGAGAAGATTCAATTTCTTATTGTTCTTTCTCTTTTCTGTTTTTTGTTTGTTCCCTGAGATATAGGAAAAACAAGGCAAGAGAAGGGGAGAGAAGGGAAGAGAAGATTCAATTTTTCGTTGTTCTTTCTCTCTTTTTTGGGTCTTTGTTCTCTAAGAGAAAGAAGGGCGAGAGAAGGGCAGAGAAGGGGAGAGAAGAGGAGAGAAGGGGAGAGAAGGGGAGACAAGATTCAATTTCTTGTTGTTCTTTCTCTTTTCTCTTTTCTCTGTGTTCCTTCGTGAGATATAGGAGAAAATCGGGCCAGAGAACGGGAGAGAAAGGGAGAGAAGACGGATAGAGAGGGCCAACTTCTTCGAATTTCTGTGGCGTCTTCCCGCCCGCGTTTGAAACCGCGTTTTGAGAGCTGGTTTTGACAAGACGAAAAAGACGAAAAAGACGAGACTTCGCGCTCGAAGCTGGTTTTGCACGGGGCCCGATGGCTCACTGTTGGCTTACTGTTGGCTTACCGCAGGGTGTGCCGTGCCGATCACTTGTCGGCCCGCGTCGGAAGGTTGGACCAAGTCAAAGAAGCAGCAGTTCAACGAGCTCCTGCAGGACTCACGGCTTAACTCCAAAGTTTAGAAATCAGTTTGGGAAATCTGATTAGTTTCCTAAGTTCTTGGAAGGAGAGTATGAGGAAATCTCAGTTCCTCAAGGACAAGTAGGTGCGATCATTGGCCGCGGCGGCGAGACACTTCGACAGATCAAGGCAGACAGCGGGGCCATCATCGTTTTGAGCCAAGAAACCAAGGGGCAAGGCTTCAGCACGGTGCGCTTTGCTGGAACTGCCGAAAGTGTGGCCCGAGCAAAAGACGCGGTCCAGCAGCGATTGGCAGAGCGCGACTGGAGCGGCATCGGTCCGGGCGGTCTCGGCATCGGTCCGGGCGGTCCGGGCGCCGGCGTGTGGGAAAGAGGCGGTCCGGGCGGTCTGGGCGTTCCGGGTCTGGGCGAGTGGGACTTCGACAGCCCCGGCTCTGGCTGTGGCCCAGGCAATCCCATCGGGAATGGCCCCATTGGTGGGAACCCAATTGGCGGCCCCATCTCTGAAGTCTCCCAAATGGCTTCGTCACCGATGCCTATGCAGATGCAGCCCATGCAGCCAATGCAGCCGATGCAACCTTTGCAGCCTATTCAATCTATGCAGATGCAACCAATGCAACCTACACAGCCCATGCAGATGCAGCCAATGCAGCCAATGCAGCCAATGCAGCCAATGCAGCCAATGCAGCCAATGCAGCCAATGCAGCCAATGCAGCCAATGCAGCCAATGCAGATGCAGCCGATGCCACCATTGCAATCAATGCAGATGCAACCAATGCAACCAATGCAAGCAATGCAGCCAATGCAAGCAGTGCAGATGCAACCAGTGCCACCAATGCAACCCATTCAGCCCATGCAACCGGTGCAAACCATGCAACCCATGCAGCCCATGCAACCAATGCAAATGCAATCAATGCAACCAATGCAATCAATGCAACCAATGCAACCAACGCAACCAATGCAACCAATGCAGCCAATGCAACCAATGCAACCAATGCAAGCAATGCAACCTGTGCAGATGCAGCCAATGATGCAGCCGATGATGCAGCCCGCGCAACCTATGCAACCGATGCAGATGCAGTCCGTGCCAATGCAGCCGATGTCACAGCCACTTGCGCAGCTTGCGACGTAAGGGCCTTACTTTTGAGTCCGCCGAGCTTAGCGGCGAGTCCAAGGCAGACTCAGTGAGCGAGGGAAAACAGGAAATGTTCCCTTGCGATTGCACCGAGTTGCACGGAGTGTTCCGCACGGAGTTGCTTTGGCACTTGATTCACTCAGCGCCCGTGGCCCGAAGGCTTCCATATCTCGAATGAAGGTTTCCGATTTTTTTCAGATTCAGCTAATGGGCCAAGCTAATTGGGAAGCTGCCAGATTCCAAGGACAATGGACGTAGCAACACCTTCCTTGGGAGCCTTGTTTCACCGTCTGCGGAGCTTGGTTGTTTGGTTGCACCAAATCAATGCTTCGCTTTTGTCATCTCGTGCTTCTGCCATGGGTTGGCGACTCAGAGGGTCAAGAGGTGAATGGGGTTGGATAGTTGAGCAGCATGAGCGCTAGGTGGTGCAGACCCTGTCGGAGGATGGGGCGATAGAGCTGAGCTGCTACTTTTCCCCAAACGCTCTGAGCCCTCTGCATGACCCAATGCAGCCAGGATGCCAACGTCAAGGCCAAGAATTCCTTGTCGGCTTCGGGCCAGTCAATGTGCATGTTCAGTTGAGAGAGGCACAACAACTTTCAGACTTTCAGACGGTTTGCAAGGCACTGGAAGAGTTCAAGAAGGAGGCACCGAGATTCATGACACGCGCTTGCGCTTGTCGGTTGCTCAGGTCACGCAGCTTCTTTCCCAAGAGAGAAAGGAATTCGAAGCGACCACACAATCTCTGGCCAAGCAGATCAAGGACAGCTCAGAAAGCCGTGCGCTTTGAGTGGAAAGCGTGCAGGACTTAGAAGCCAAACTTGGGCAGCAGGGAGCATTTATGGCAGACGCTTTGCAAGCAAGCCAAAAAGAATTTGTAATGAAAAAAGACTGGAAGGAGTTTGCAGAGCACAAGGAGGCTTCGGTGAAGGGCCTTGAAGCTCAGAAGCAGGCTTTGGAAACGCACAAGTCCGAGACAGTCAAGCATATAGAAGCGCAGCAGCAGGCGCTTGAAGGACACAAGAAAGCAGCTTCAGAGCAGCTGGAGTCGCACAAGAAAGAGTCTGCTTCAGCGCTGGCAAGTGCCAAAGAGGGGTTGCAGAAGTCGCTAGAGGAGCAAAACACCGAAGCAGCCAAAGCTCTGGAGGCTCATCAGCAAGCGCTTGCCAAGCACAAGGAGGAGGCTGCAGCACAACTTGAGAGCCACAAGAAGGAGTTTACAGAGCACAAGGAGGCTTCGGTGAAGGGCCTTGAAGCTCAGAAGCAGGCTTTGGAAACGCACAAGTCCGAGACAGTCAAGCATATAGAAGCGCAGCAGCAGGCGCTTGAAGGACACAAGAAAGCAGCTTCAGAGCAGCTGGAGTCGCACAAGAAAGAGTCTGCTTCAGCGCTGGCAAGTGCCAAAGAGGGGTTGCAGAAGTCGCTAGAGGAGCAAAACACCGAAGCAGCCAAAGCTCTGGAGGCACATCAGCAAGCGCTTGCCAAGCACAAGGAGGAGGCTGCAGCACAACTTGAGAGCCACAAGAAGGAGTTTGCAGAGCACAAGGAGGCTTCGGTGAAGGGCCTTGAAGCTCAGAAGCAGGCTTTGGAAACGCACAAGTCCGAGACAGTCAAGCATATAGAAGCGCAGCAGCAGGCGCTTGAAGGACACAAGAAAGCAGCTTCAGAGCAGCTGGAGTCGCACAAGAAAGAGTCTGCTTCAGCGCTGGCAAGTGCCAAAGAGGGGTTGCAGAAGTCGCTAGAGGAGCAAAGAACCGAAGCAGCCAAAGCTCTGGAGGCTCATCAGCAAGCGCTTGCCAAGCACAAGGAGGAGGCCGCAGCACAACTTGAGAGCCACAAGAAGGAGTTTGCAGAGCACAAGGAGGCTTCGGTGAAGGGCCTTGAAGCTCAGAAGCAGGCTTTGGAAACGCACAAGTCCGAGACAGTCAAGCATATAGAAGCGCAGCAGCAGGCGCTTGAAGGACACAAGAAAGCAGCTTCAGAGCAGCTGGAGTCGCACAAGAAAGAGTCTGCTTCAGCGCTGGCAAGTGCCAAAGAGGGGTTGCAGAAGTCGCTAGAGGAGCAAAAAACCGAAGCAGCCAAAGCCTGGAGGCACATCAGCAAGCGCGTGCCAAGCACAAGGAGGAGCAGCACAACTTGAGCCACAAGAAGGAGTTTGCCCAATGTGAGGGCCTTGAAGCTCAGAAGCAGCTTTGAAACGCACAGTCTGAGACCGTCAAGCATATAGAAGCGCACAGCAGGCGCTTGAAGACACAAGAAAGCAGCTTCAGCTGGAGTCGCACAAGAAAGAGTCTGCTTCAGCGCTGGCAAGTGCCAAAGAGGGGTTGCAGAAGTCGCTAGAGGAGCAAAAAACCGAAGCAGCCAAAGCTCTGGAGGCACATCAGCAAGCGCTTGCCAAGCACAAGGAGGAGGCTGCAGCACAACTTGAGAGCCACAAGAAGGAGTTTGCAGAGCACAAGGAGGCTTCGGTGAAGGGCCTTGAAGCTCAGAAGCAGGCTTTGGAAACGCACAAGTCCGAGACAGTCAAGCATATAGAAGCGCAGCAGCAGGCGCTTGAAGGACACAAGAAAGCAGCTTCAGAGCAGCTGGAGTCGCACAAGAAAGAGTCTGCTTCAGCGCTGGCAAGTGCCAAAGAGGGGTTGCAGAAGTCGCTAGAGGAGCAAAACACCGAAGCAGCCAAAGCTCTGGAGGCACATCAGCAAGCGCTTGCCAAGCACAAGGAGGAGGCTGCAGCACAACTTGAGAGCCACAAGAAGGAGTTTGCAGAGCACAAGGAGGCTTCGGTGAAGGGCCTTGAAGCTCAGAAGCAGGCTTTGGAAACGCACAAGTCTGAGCTGTCAAAGAGCCTGTCGGCACAAGAAGCTGAACTTGAAGGGCAGAAGAAGGCTGAGTTGCATGCCATTTTGCGCACTTAGATTCCTAAAGGACTTGTGTCGAGTTGAATTCCCAGGCGATTCGTGTCGAGTTGAGTCGAGAGACTCGAAGGCCGTAGTGGCAGTGGCCGCGAAGATGGACGAGGAGCGCCAGGCAACTGTCAAGGCCGCTCTTTCCGTGTTTTTCCGTACGTGGGAAAAGCTTTTCCAGGTAAGAAAAAGTAAGAAAAAGGCTTTTCTGCAGCTATTGCTCACATTTTCTGAATTGCCTCTGCTTGTATTACTCTATAGCTTTTATTGCTTGAACCACCGCTGCTTCTATTGCCCAGCTCTTTTGCTTGTGCAACTGCTTTGCTTTTGCAGCTTCAGTTGCTTCTCTTTTTTGCGTTGCTGCGTTTGCTCGGCTGCTTCGAATACTTCCCATTTCCCTGATCGTCTACGTCATCTCACTTCCCTGTGTTCCGCATTTGTTTGTGCTGGTTGCATTGCTTCAGCGTGCGATCACAGCATCTTTGTGCTGGAGCCTGTTGCTGATAATGTTCACGGATATCATTGTGCTGCGCATGTCCTATGCTTTTGCATGTTGCTCCCTGGACTCTCGACGTGTTTTCGCGCTGTCGATTTTTCATAGCCGTGTGAGTCTCATTTGAGGCGCTGGCGGCGGAGAGCGAGCAGCAGCGGTCTGCCGTGCAGACCTGCCAGCGCGAAGCCTCCGAAGGTCTGCTGGCGGCGGGCAAGGCCTTGACGTCGCTGAGCGACGAAGTCGCAAAAAAGCTCCAGGACGAAATCGGACGAAGTCGGACGAAATCGGACGAAATCGGAAGAGATCAGACGAAATCGGACGAAGTCGGACGTCGGACGAAGTGGGACGAACTGGGACGAAGTCGCACGAAGTCGGACGAAGTCGGACGAAGTCGGACGAAATCGGACGAAATCGGACGAAATCGGACGAAGTCGGACGAAGCCGGACGAAGTCGGACAAAGTCGGACGAAGTCGGACGATTTCGGACGAAGTCGGACGAAATCGGACAAAATCGGACGAAATCGGACGAAATCGGACGAAGTCGGACGAAATCGGAAGAAGCCGGACGAAGTCGGACGAAATCGGACGAAGTCGGACGAAATCGGAAGAAGCACGAAATCGGACGAAGTCGGACGAAGTCGAAGGAAAGCAAGGGACAGCAAGGGAAAGCAAGAGAAAGCAAGGCAAAGCAATAGAAAGCAGGGGCCAGCAAGGGAAAGCGAAGGAAAGCAAGGGGCAGCAACGGACAGCAAGGGAAAGCGAAGGAAAGCCAGGGACAGCAACGGAAAGCAAGAGCAAGGGAAAGCAATAGCAGGAAAGCAAGGGAAAGCGAGGAACATCAAGGGACGGTGAGGGAAAGGAAAAGGAAAAGCAAGGGAAGGGAAAGTAAGGGAAAGGAAAAGCAAGGGGCAGCAAGGAACAGCAAGGGAAAGCAAGGAAACGGGAAAGCAAGGAACAGCAAGGGACAGCAAGGGAAAGCAAGAGAAAGCAAGGGAAAGGGAAAGCAAGCGCAAGCCAAGGAAAACAAGGGACAGCAAGGGACAGCAAGGGAAAGGGACAGTAAGGGAAAGCAAGCGCAAGCGAAGGAACGCAAGAGACAGCAAGGGAAACGGAAAGCAAGGGGAAAGCAGGGTCAAGATAGCAAGGGAACGCACGAGAAAGCAACGGAAAGCAGTGGAAAGCAATGGAAAGCAAGGGACAGCAAGGGGCAGCAAGGGACAGAAGAAAGCAAGGGGAAGAAAAAGTGAACGCGAAGAAAAGCAAGGGACAGCAAGGGACAGCAAGCAAGGGAAAGCAAGAGAATTGGACGAAGTCGGACGAAGTCGAGCGAAATCGGACAAAGTCGGACTTCGGATGAAGTCGGACGAAGTCGGACGAAGCCGGGCGAAGTCGGACGAAGTCGGACGAAGTCGGACGAAGTCGGACGAAGTAGGAGACGAAGTGGGACGAAGTCGGACGAAGCCGGACGAAGTTGGACAGAGTCGGACGAAGTCGGACGAAGTCGAACGAAATCGGACGAAATTCTTCGAAGCCGGATGAAGTCGGACGAAGTCGCGAAGTCGGACGAAATCGCACGAAGTCGGACGAAGTCGGACGACATCGGACGAAATCGGACGAAATCGGTCGAAGTCGAAAAGAGAGAGAAAAGATGTCAAAGTACATGCGGTCGTGTGCTACATTGCTTGTGCACGACTGCAGGCCTTGAGCCCAGTAGATACTACATCATGCAGACGGAAGCTGTGCAGACTACAGAGTTGTTTGTGACAACAACAGTTCAGCAACACTTGCACTTGTAGAAAACAACAGTCTGAGTTTAACGTGGTTGCGGAGCTGAGATCCTAAACATAGGGGAGCTCCAGTATCCAGCAGTGAGTACTACAGCAACTGCAGTAGCAGCATCCCAAACTACCACGACATGTCAGGAGAAGCAGCATCAGCTTCAGTGCAACACACTACAGGAGCAGAGAATGGGCCAACAGCAGAACCAGTAGGCGACTACGGGAGCAGGAACAGAACAAGACAACGACGTTCAGAGACTACATCAGTACAAACTGCCACCACCCTTCTTCACTGGGGACTACTCCCAGTATGAAGAATGGCTGTTCAAGCTACAAGCCAGCAGCTACAGTAGTATGGCAAAACCGCTACAACGCAAATGGATGTGAAACACTACAACTCTTGCGCAACAGGTTCAGCCTACCAGTCGGAACACAAAGTGTTGGCCACCTTACCAAACTACTGGAACCTACATTCAACAAAGCGCAGTTTGAAGAGCAATTCCTACAATGGGAACACGACATCAACCGCTACGAGAAAGACAACGGCACAGCACTACCAGATGGGATAAAAATCGCAAGACTACTCGACAAAACAGCTGGACAGATCACGAACTACAACGAGATCAGAGCAGTCATTCTGGACTACCACAAGACGATCTCTTGTTTGTCAAGAGCGACTTCAGCTGTAGGCACAAACTACACTGGAGGACCATGGACGCTGACAACATTTGGAGGAAAGGAAGGGAAGCAAAGGCAAAGGCAAATACGGGAGCAAAGGACACTACAAGGGGTTTGACAAAGGGAGCAAAGGAAGCTACAACAAAGGAGGATACAACAAGAGCAAAGGAACAGGCTACTGAAGATCCAAAGGCTATGGATCAAGCAAGGGCTACAAAGGCCAGGGAAACTACAGCAAAGCACAGGGAAAAGGAAGCAACAATTACATGACATGCCATCAATGTGGCAAGCCTGACCATTGGGCCCAGCACTGCAGATTCACATAGGAGAAGGAGAAGATCTATATCCACTAGACCAAGAACAAGCAGATCAGGACAACAACGAAGAACTACCTCAGGATGTGAACGACATGTGGGACTGGTACTACGAAGGAGAAGAAGGACAACGCGAGATAAATTACATGGAGGAGAATTGGAACGACTACAACTATGACAACAGCTGGGACTGGAATGACAACAGCTACGAAGACACAGACATCAACGAGTCGCACCTCACCATTGGACACATCAGACAAGCAAAGTCACTACTACACAAGCGCAATTCCAAATCACTACTTGGAAAGAAAACAACACACACAACATCATGGAACGACCACAGCAAGAGCTTTCAACAGTTCCTCCAAGAGGACGCAACGCAACTGCACTTCGACATAGCAGCAGCAACACAACAGCAAAGAAACAAGAAGATTGAGGCACCATCACACACTACATCCTGTACTCCAACTTCAAGTCATACCGTCACCTGCGAATCGACTCAGAAGCATCTACACATGTTTGCCCGAAGGACTACGCGCCAGACCTACCACTTCCTGTCTATGGCGTCCAGTATGTTCACTACAGGCAGGACAACTTCAGGATCATGTTACCCTACTATGTTTGTGATGTGCAGTATCCTATCCTCAGTGCATCAAGACAACTTGATAGAGGATATGGACTCGACTTCAATCCACGACACTGCACCATCACACAGGTACCACAACAAGCACACCTCATCAGACACTCAATACTCTGCTACCTACGAGCAGAAAAGATCGACACCCCTACAGGATTTGACATCTACCCAATGACTAAAGGCAGTGGAAAGTCCATTGCTGTGATTCAACCAAGAATGCAAAACAACAACAAGAACAAATTGCGCCGCTCACACACAGACCAAGGTGGTGGAAACACTGACTAGAACTAGACGGTTGGCGACTCACCACCATAAACAGACAAGGGCAACTTTCCAAGCAAGAACCGAAGGCGAAGACTAGAAGGTGACAACTGGACTGGAGAAACTAGATTCAGAAGAAAGATAACACCTACACGAGAGCAACATCAAAGACTACACCAACAAGGCAGAGCTCACAACCGCAACAGCTAGTGGATACACCACCAACAAGATCAAAGATTCAACTACGGGCCCCACAAACGATATGGAGGCGTAAAGCAGCATCTTCTACAGACCTTGACGCCGCGCAACCAAAGGAGACAAGACACAGACCACTCGCAGCACGGGAAGACAACCAAGACTAAGGAAAGACAAAGTGCAGAAATGCATCTGGCTCGGAAAAGTTTCCGAAACCGGAGAAAACTACGTCGCAACGGAAACAGGCGTACAGAAAGTACGAACAGTACGGAGACTATAACCAGACTTTAAATACGACCTCGCGCTACTAAACTTTAGAGCCTCCGGCTCAGTCCGCCGACATGGTCCTCTCCCTTTTTTTCTTCTTCCTTTTTGTCTAGGGTGCAGTGGCTCTTGATTGAAGTGGAGTGACTGATGTAGTCAGGCTGTTGTCTTGTAGTAACTGCTGGGTGTAATCTGTGGGAAGTGAGATGGTTACAAGAATGTAGTCGTTGACGTGACTGGTGGATGTGTGGAGTTCGGTCAAGCTGTAGTAGCGCCACAAGTGGGCATCAGCTGCCGAATGTAGTAGTTGTAGTCGGTCGTATGCCGGCTGATGTAGCTTGCCCGGTAGTGAACGCATGGGCAAAAAGCGTGTAGCCGGTTCTGTAAGTGGCAGCGGTGTAGAAAAGATTGGCTGTGTTGTAGTGATCCTGTCCTGCAGCGAGAAAGCAGTAAAACCTCAACTGTCAGGGGGATGTAGAATTTGGTGTGCTGTTGTGTTGTAGGTGGTGTGGGCATGGCCCGTAGTTGGATGGCGTCGTTGATGTGAGGGTTGAACTATTTGGAGTTGTACACCTCCTGTAGATGTGCACTGAATGGCAGTGGTGTGGTCTGTAGTTGAAGGTCGTGGTGCGCCTGTAGTTGGGCGAAGTTGTGAACTTGTAGTTGGACGGGTGTTGTAGTCTCGGGTGACGCCATGTCAACCTCGTTCTCTGCGATTGTAGACGCCTGATGGTCCATGGCTGTAGTCCCAAAAGAAAAATGAAGTGAATCGGGGCACCTAAGATGAGCCGCCTGTAGTTGCTAACAGGAAGCGGTCAGACATGCAAATTCAAACAAACATGTAGTGTTGACTGAAGCCGCCAATCATGCCGCCAGAAAGTGCAAGTGACATTGCATTTAGTTACTGCTAGTTACTTACCAAAAGTGTCATGTTACATGTAGCTAGTACATACAAAAACGTGTTTAAAGTCGTCGTCGTCGTCGTCGTCGTCGTTTGTTGTTGTTGTTGTTGTTGTTGTTGTTGTTGTTGTTGTTGTTGTTGCGAAACAGTTGCGCTGGTCGTTCGTAGTGCTAGCTGCGTATCCCAATGCTCTGAATGAGCCTGCGTAGTGTTTCCTTGCTAATGTATTTGGTAAACAAATCTGCGCTGTTGTGAAGTGTGTTGATCTTAAGGATTCTGATGATGTCATGTTTGATGAGGTCCTGTGTGTAGAGGAATTTGAGGTCGATGCGCTTTGCTCGTTTGCTTGTGCCTTGTCGTGTAGCAATGCTCCTGCCTGCTGTGGTGTCTGTGTGAATGCGTAGGTTTAGTTTGCTGCAAATGTTGGTTTCAAGTAGGAAGTTTCTGAGGTGTAGTCCCTCATGAACTCCTGCGCAGATTGCGTAGAGTTCAGATTCTGCTGAAAGGAGTGCTATTGTAGCCTGTGTTCTGCTGCCAAATGCAACTGTTGTTCCAAGAAAGATGATGTTGAAACCTGAAGTTGACTTCCTGGTAGTAGGGCATCCTGCTCAGTCGGCATCGACATGAACATCGAGATCCAGGATGTTGTTGGTGTTTGCTCTGAGTGTTGTTGTTGGTTCCATGGAAAATTTGTAGTGTTTAGCGCCGTGCAAGTAGCGTAGTAAGTGCTTGAGACTCTTTTGTGAAAGTTCTGTAGGTGCTGTGAGGTCTCGTGCTAGTTCTTTTGTTGCGTACGCGATGTCTGGTCGTGTGTATGCTAACCATTGAAGTTTACCAACAATTCTTCGGTATCTTTTGTGTTGTTCGTGGTCAAGTAGTGCTTCGTCCTCTATTGTTGGTTTGTAGTGGGCGAATCCTGGAGTGGTCACCGTGTTGCAGCTGGTCTTTCCAGTCTCCTCGATCATGTTGTCGATGTAGGAGTCCTGTAGTCCAAGATTGCAGTGGTCGATGTGTCTTCCCAGGAGTTGTTGTGGTTTACCAGGCTCAAGATAACCAATGTGCTTGAGTAGAGCCTGCTTCTGCATGGCCTCGAAGATGAAGTCGACAGTAGTCTTGTCTCCAATAGGTTGTCCACGTAGACCATGATGTGGCAGTCGCGAGTCGCATTGGTGTGGACGACTTCAGTCTTACAAAGCTGAGCCTTTGTAGTACTTCAGCCAGGTAGTCCTGCCATGCTTTAGGTGAGTCTTTAGCGTTCTGTAGTGGACAAAGTTGTTTAGGTGGCCAAAGGTAGAAGTAGCGTTGTTTGCCGTCGTGGTCCTTTGCAATGGATGCTTGTAGAAATGCCGTAGAGACGTCGCCTAGTCGCGCGATCCAGTTTGGCCGTGACATTTGTAGCGCGAGAAGCGTCCGTAGTAGAGGCGTAGACGGAGTCTTCGTCCTCGATCTTCTCAGTGTAGCCTTTTGCGGCGATTCTACTTTGCTTTTCAGTTGAAAAGGTACTACAAAGACCTTTTAACTGAGGGGCCGTGCCAAACTACATGCTTCACTTTGCACTTGTGTTGCATGTATGTTCAATACTGCAGGCCTTGAGCTCACTACATCGCATGAGTCAAAAGGTTGGCAGCTGCAGGCTACATTGGTTGATTGTTTGTTTGAACACTACAGCACTTGCACTTGTAAGCGAAGTAAAAGTAGCAACCAATTTTAACGAACGAGAGAGAGAGAGAGAGACAAAGAGAGAGAGAGAGAGAGAGAGAGACAAAGAGAGAGAAAGAGAGGGAGAAAGAGAGAGAAAGAGGGCGATTCACCAGAAAGGAGAAGACATCTTTTCAGAAGATCATTTCGGAGTCTGGAATCTCTCAAATCTATTCAAAACTCAGGAGCACAAGCAGCAGGTGGAGGACGGGCTTCTGGATGTTCGAGCCCAGGCCGCCTCAAAGTTTCAAGAACAGCAGAAGGCCATGGACAACCAGAGTGAGGACGCAGCGGAACTCCATCGTCAACTCAAAGAGGCGCAAGAACTTGCGAGCTTTCAGTTTGTTGGCGTATGTTATGCCACTGTTATACACGGTGTACGCCTGTGTGCGGAGAGAGAGAGGGAGAGAGAGAGAGAGAGCGCGAGAGAGAGAGAGAGAGAACGGAGTTCTGTAGTTGTTCGTTCTGATGAAGAGTCACCCCACAGGAGCACGATGAACCCGAACATTTCCTGTTCAGGATGTGCAGGAGTACAAGAGCAATGCTTCCAAGGCGAGGTAAAAATGAGACAAGTGAGATGGGCATCAGTCATTCAGCTGTGCATGTGATGTGCTTCCCACACTTTTGCATGCGTCGGCATGCCGCCAAATTGAGGCCTTGTGGTTGCTGACCCAGTCTTTAGATGCGCACAAAGATGAGGCGCAACTTGCGCAGCATGGCGCATGGCGCCAGTCGCGGCGCATGGGTGGAGCTTTCTGCCCACCTTGTGCATTCATTGCCAGGTCTCCAACACCATGAAAGCTCAGCAAGATGGCCTGGAAAAAAACCTCACCAGCGCCAAGGCAGATACACAAAAGGCCATGGAGGCCTTGATGCGTGCGATTTGCAAGGTTTCATTTGCTTCACAGGGCAACCTGATAGTGCGCATGGACATTGGGTGCGCTCCAACTCTTGCGCAATCTGCCAGCTTTGGGTCCGAAAACGGTGTCCTCCAAAACTCTTTCTGCGCAGCCATTTGCTTCTTTTGCGCAAAGCGAACGCACGAAGCTCGCAGCAGCCTGGTACACTCGACTCTGGGCCAAGGCAAACAGCGGCTGACAAAGGGGAGCGGCCCGCAGAGCGGGCAGCAAGCTGCGATGCAACGCGCGCCATCGCGGAAACCGGGGTGCTACCTGATCTTCCCAAAAAGGAAAGTCTCTTCTCCGTCCAGACGTGTCACGTCCATGCTCTTATTTGCCCTTTACGTCCGGACACGCAATCTTTTGATTGTCAAACCTCGCAGTTGCGCTTGTCCGCTTCAGAATGCTGTGCTCTCAAAGCAGCGCAGGCTAGCGTGGATTCCGCAGATCCGCTTCTCGCCTGTCAGGGGCGTGCTCGCCGCCTCCCTTTCATTCCTTTTTTGCCCCCTGTTTTCTTCCCATTTTAGTTTTTGTTTGGGGGGAAAGAGGGTTCTGGCTTGCTCGCCTTTGTGTTTGCGCTGCTTTGGGTGTGCTCGCCTTTCTATTTTTTTGAGCGCTCTGCTCCTCCTTTTTTTTCCTCCCGTCTCTTTGAAATCCTTGTTGTTTCCTCCAGCCCTCCTTCCCTTGCCTGAGGCGCGGCTGGCGGGGGCAGGCTTGGGCTGCGCTGGTGGTCTTGTCTGCCCATGCCATTTCTTCTTTGTGTTGTTTTTAGGGAATTTTGGCTCATTTTATCTTTGATCGCTTTTCCCCCCGCCGCACGGCTCTCATTACTTGCAGTGCAATCGCAGAGAAAATGGTATTGCTCCCCGCATGCATGCAGGCAATACGCGACAGAAGTTCCAGTTCTACTTCTCACCCTCAGACATCAGGTTCTTATCTTGCAGCAGATCCACGTGAAGAAGTCGCTCCAATTGTGCAGCAAGAAGGAGGACAGCGATGCCGAGGCGGAGACAACTTACCATGATGACAAAGATGATGTGGTGAGTGAGTCGTCAGGATGATCCGGCGAAACAGAGCCTACAATGACGGTATGGTTCCAAAAAGTCGCCGATTCCGCGGAAGATGCTTCGTTCGAGTAGCTGGAGAACGAGGATGGGAAGCAGTGCAAGAAGAAAGCGTGGCGACAAAGCAACAACTCCTAGAAGATGAAGAAGGTGACCGATCCTAAGCTTTATTGAAATCATTCGGTCGCCCGGAGATGATCGCATATCAAAGACGGCGTGCAATCCTTCGAGCAAAATGTATGAAGGACGCTGCGAAAGACGAGCGCGAACCACACTTCCTGCCCATTGACGACGAGAGTACCCTTGCCTTTTCGTTCAACCAAGAGACAAGGTTGATAAGAACAAATGATCATGGGGCTATCGGCCAGTCACAACTGTGGCGCGAAATGGTTGATGGATGCTGGATGTGGACACGGTTGAATCGGCTGGTGAAGACATTGTGTAAGGCGCGGACGATGTGAGCAAACGAGATCACATCCACTTGCGACGCAACGAAATATCACATCGAGGCGACGCCGACCGTACTGGCCGTTGGGGAGAGGTACAATTTCTGGACGACATTTCCTTTTCTGGTGGATAAGAAGAAGCTGAGGTCCAACATATGGAATGTGTTTGCAGCAACCGCATCGTGCGCGGGTGTTAGCCGTCGATGGTGCTGAAGGATGACGACTTTGGCCCAGATGCAAAACTCGAGGTTTTGGTGTTCGAAGAAGGATGTGGCTACTTTGCCACTTGCTTACTCATAGGTGAGACATTTCAGGATGAAGGCTGGCGCATTCAAGAGAGGGGTGAGGCGTTCCGTCATCACCTCTCGACCTGGTTAAGCAAGCCTGCTCGAATGACGCGCCAGACCTCATCAATGCTCATTCATGGTCTATCGTTACCTGGTAGAGCGCAGAAAAACCCACTGGCCGAGAGAATGAATGAGCATCAGCTCCTCCCAGCGTGTCTCAGGCACGCTGGTTTGCCGAAACGCTGCAAGTACAATTCCATGCCGCCTCATGAACGTGGACGAGATCAAGAGATTTCATGGTGGCCATTCCAAGGGTGAGAAAACGCCTTCTTGACGTCCAGCTCTTCGCGTGGTCCCAGCGAATGCCGCCAGGTCATCCTGGTCGCGTCCCTGATCAACATCAATCAGAAGCTCATCCGGAACGTGTGCTTTCTTATCCTTGCCTGCAGAAGAACGCGAAGCCGAATCTTCAGAACTCTTCCTTCAGTCTGGCACAGGGTTCTCGGCCCATCGGTGTTTCGCAATCCTCCTCTCAGCCTTTCTCGTGAATGCTCAGGCTCTGTGCTCAACTGCCCTGCGTTGCTGGCATAGCCTCTGCATCACCCCCAGGCAAACTTCCCCTTCTTCTTATTCCTGACTACGGGCTGGCCGGGGGGTGAAGTTACCGCAAGCTTGACGAGCGTGGTACACCTTATTCGGCGACTCAGCGTGACAAGACCATCATGCTTTTTACAAGAAGCGTGGGCCAAGCTGAGCGCCGGCGGGGAATTCGTGCGACGCTGAAGGATCGGTGGGGAGGTATGTGACCAGTGGCAGCACAGTTGCAGCTTACGCAGAAACGCAAAGCGGATCAAGAATCCTGGCGAAGGCAATTTCTCGGCCATGGGTACGCATCTTTGTCGAACCCGTTACTGATTTCTGGCGAGTCATCTAAGAAGGCGGGGTAACGCCAGGCCGTTGATGTGGAGAAGAAAGTTGAGAAGGCGATCGTCATCTACGCGTGGACTTTCCTTTGCAAGGGGACTGCGGGCCTACCCCAAAGAAACACCACGATGCGGCGCCGGTGTCAGATTCGAAGATGACAATGATCATGGTGGCGACTCCGAAACCTTGCCGACAGAGCCACTCACATGTATGAAGGGGAAGATTCAGCCGCTGGCGACGTCCTGCGCCAGCTACACTCCGTGTTCAAAGTGCATTGGTATTACGAACTGTCAGACGCGCTGATCTATAATTTAATCCCAGAGCAGACAGAAGAACAAGGATGTCCATGTGGCTAGGCGCATAGCACTCGCGGCTCAAAGAGCGCAGGCCACAAAGAAAGTTCAAAGCTTGTGGTGTGGTGTTGGGAAACTAGCTGAAGAAGCAAATCCTCGAAGCGGCTTTGTTTCAAGATCTTGGCAACTCACCTGCCACGTATGGGTTGGGCTTGTGTGTCTCGAGGGATGGGACGTGCGAATGGCGGACGCAGTGCAAACATATATCCAGGCAGAGCCACGCGGGCCGGATGTTGGATTGAACTTCTGTGAATGTGAGGGCAGTTGGCTTCGAGCCGTTGGTAAAGACGTCCACCTTCACGACAAGCTGCAGCTGGTCCTACTTGTGTATGTTGGTGCTTCCAAGATGGCTGGTCCAAACAAAACTTCCTGCCGGATGGAGTCTTCTACATGAATCTCAAAAAGCGAGCTGGAGACGGGCATCAACAATTGGCTTCAACAGTGACCTATGACATGACACCCATGAACGGACCAAAGGCATCCATCATGGAAGCGTAGCAAGAAAACCTTGCGTGTGAGAACTTGTGCCACTTGGTGGTTGTGACGTGGAATCTGACTCATCTCAATGCCTGGTGAACGGGACAGTGATTGTAAACATCAACAAGGACAAACCTATGGAGGTGTGTGAGGGGCAGGTGTATTGGTCACAAAGAACGATCCGATGCATGGAGCGGACTATGTGAAGGGCGTTGAAACAGCGTGCGGGAACAAGCCTGAGTTTTGCGATATCGCACAAGCGCAAGGGCTTGCAGACGTGGAGGTGCGATACTCATACAGGCCGGATCTCGCCGCAAAACTCAAAAACTCACACAGAGAGCTGGACGACGGGCTCGAGTCTGAAGGCGCAGACCGTGACTGCAGGTGGCGAAAGCAACGGACGACCTGCGTGAAGTGATGCGCAGGGGCTGCGGGGGACAGCCGGACGAGAACTACCCCTTTGCAAACGACCGAGCAAGCTGCGTGCGTTGCAATGCGAAATGGTTGGTCGCTGAAGAGTACGTCGGAGCCAAGCGTGACGGAATGCTCGCCATACTTATCTTTGGACAGGCGTGCGAAGTCGTTCGAGATGTTCTCGTGACGATATTGCGGGGCTGTTCAACACACCTCTTCCGATTCGGAGGATCGTGATGAAAGTGTGTGGTTACGTTCACATGCGAGGTACAGGACTGCATCACTCTGGGCTGAGATGATCTAGTGCCGACAACGAAGAGAAACTGGGATGTCTCAAGATGGCTTATTTTGAAGCTGTTGGGGCCAGACGCAAAGGGTGACCATAGGCAACGAAGCATCTCGAAGGCGTTGTGCGAAACACATCGGATTGAGAGCACGCCCAATCAGCAATGGTACAAGTGCGAATGCTGGTTGTTGGGCAAACACCGATGACATTCGGAACGACAATGACATTTTTCATTCGCGTATGTTGCCAGAAACAGCGGAATTGCTGCGGGGGAGAAGGGTATGCTGAGACACACATGGTGCAGCCATGTTCATCAATCACAAAGGCTGGTAACGTCCGGGGAACTCCGACGTCGGAGCAATGCCTCAGGCATGGTGCGTATCACGCCACCCAGAGTCGCAAACTTGAGGGGGATTGTCGGCTGCGGGTAAGTGTTCGGTGGCACAGGAAGGTCTACCGCGATGGGACGACAACATATTGCGACAAAGACGTGTTTAAGCTGCGCCGGGCTGACTTGGTAGCCACCATGGCGTGGCTTCAAATGCAATGATTCGCGAGATGTGGGTTTTGGGCGACGAGGCGATCTCCCTGTCAACATACGGTGATCTCCGTCACCCTTCAACCCACAGCACACGCGTCTCACCTCCTCCGCATGACCGCCCGTCCGCAACGCCATTGCCCGCAGATCTTGTTAAGTACCTCTCAGCATTGGAGACGAGATAAGCGCCATGATTGTGATCGCTTGCCATGATGCCTCGGTGCTTTTGCTGGTGCGCAGTTTGCAGCTGTGCAACATCGATCCTGAAGAAGACATCCCAAAGGTGCAAACACGGCAACGTTCATGATAGCGCCAGTGAAGACGAGGCGCCGAAATGAGTGACGGCAGTCGCTGACGGCCAAGCTAAGGCAGTGTGCTTGGACGAAGCACGGCGGCTAAATCGACAGACTCACTGGTTTGGGCGTCCGGTTGCCAGTGGAACGTGGTGTAACTACTGCGGCGGCACTGTGCAAGCAAAGGCTCCGGTAATGCGTAGTAAGGTTTTAGTAGGGCCTCGGCAGATTATCAATTTCATTGGCGAAAGTGACGACAAAACCTGTACGACTTGCGAGAATGCCACGGAATCTGTATTTGGCCTTGCTTAGGAAAGAGCGCCGCCTGCCACAAAATCCGTACTCGACCCTGTGCGTCAGCCACACCACGAAAGCTGCTGTCGCGTCCATGCCAATGGGGCCAGCCCTGAGAGTGCTCAGAACACGATGCGAACATGGTCAGAACGTTGTTTGAATATTTCTCTTTCTCCCTCCCTCCCCCAACTCAAGCGGCCTTCTTTTGCACATCTTGTGTGGTTTGTCTCAGAGAGCTATCTTTCAGGTAGTTCCTTTTAAGCTTTCTCTGGCTATTTTCTCGATGCCAAGAGTTTGTGGGTTCTTGGCCCCTTCGCTTTGCGGGAGCCTCCCCCAATGCTCGATGCTGCGCTTGATTTTGAGCAAGTGTGTTTGTAGGTCACCTGCGTCATGTTCCGCGCAGGGGTTTGTCATTGAGCAGCCTTGTCGTTCTTGCTTCCAGCCCGCCTTTTCCCGCTATGATCATGCTGTGCAGCTGCTACCCACTTGCAGGCGCATAGAAATGAGTTTGCAATCAGCTTGGAAGAGCACAAGAAGGAATCTGCTGCTGTCATGGCAAGCACCAATGAAGCACTCACAGTCCACAAGATCGAGACCGTGAAAAGTTTTGAGTCGCAGCAAAAGGCATTAGAAGCCCACAAAGATGCCACTTCTGAACAGCTTCGCCTGCAAAGGCAAGAGCTCGACCAAAGCGTTGCGGGAACGAAAGAAGGCCTCGAAAACACTTTGGCGGAGCAAAGCAAGGCTGTGACGATGCATGGCGAAACTTTGCAGAAGATTTCCGAGTCGCATCAGCAAGCGCTTGCCAAGCACAAAGAGGAGGCTGCAGCGCAGCTTGAGAGCCACAAGAAGGAGTTTGCAGAGCACAAGGAGGCTTCGGTGAAGGGCCTTGAAGCTCAGAAGCAGGCTTTGGAAACGCACAAGTCCGAGACAGTCAAGCGTATAGAAGCGCAGCAGCAGGCGCTTGACGACCACAAGAAAGCAGCTTCAGAGCAGCTGGAGTCTCATAAGAAAGAGTCCGCTTCAGCGCTTTCAAGTGCCAAGGCGGGGTTGGAAAAGTCGCTAGAGGAGCAAAAGAACGAAGCAGCCAAAGCTCTGGAGGCACATCAGCAAGCGCTTGCCAAGCACAAAGAGGAGGCTGCAGCGCAGCTTGAGAGCCACAAGAAGGAGTTTGCAGAGCACAAGGAGGCTTCGGTGAAGGGCCTTGAAGCTCAGAAGCAGGCTTTGGAAACGCACAAGTCCGAGACAGTCAAGCATATAGAAGTGCAGCAGCAGGCGCTTGAAGGACACAAGAAAGCAGCTTCAGAGCAGCTGGAGTCGCACAAGAAAGAGTCTGCTTCAGCGCTGGCAAGTGCCAAAGAGGGGTTGCAGAAGTCGCTAGAGGAGCAAAAAGCTGAAACAGCTAAAGCTCTGGAGGCACATCAGCAAGTGCTTGCCAAGCACAAGGAGGAGGCTGCAGCGCAGCTTGAGAGCCACAAGAAGGAGTTTGCAGAGCACAAGGAGGCTTCGGTGAAGGGCCTTGAAGCTCAGAAGCAGGCTTTGGAAGCTGTGAGAAGCGAGTCGTTGGACAAATTGCAGTTGTTGGACGAGAGCCGCAAGAGTGCTCCGCCGGGGCCGGGCCCAGAGAAGCCTGGCTCGGGGCCTCCCCCCCCGAAGCCGGCGCCCAAGCCGCCCAAGCCACCGGCCAAGCCGAAGTAGGCGCGAAGCAAAAGCCAATGCCAACGAAAGTATTAGGCTTTGCACGGGTGCTTGTCTTAGTAATGGCTCGGTCCCTGTCAACTAGAGGCTCATGGAATGAGTCTACACATCATGGCAACTGAAGTTTCACATAGCTTTTCACTTTGCAAATGCGTGTGCATTCCTGGCGTTGCATTCATTTTGAGGCTGGCGCCTGTGGGAGCCTTCTCGTAGACCGCTCTGTGCGCGCTGCGTGTGCGCCGCCTGCTGCGCACCGCGCGCCGCGCGAGACTGGGCGAAAAAGAGAGCGCGTGGCTCAGCGCAGGACGAGTAAGACCAGTCAAGAGGAGATAAGACTGCTGGGCTGCGTGTTGCCTGTTTTGTTTCACTCTGAGCTGTGGGCGCCGGCCTCGCGTCCGCCGCGCGGGATGGATGGATGGACGAAGGGATGGATTGGATTGGGTTGGACTGGATTGGCTTGGATGGCTGGGTGGAGCACGTGCGTTTTTGCACACGCTTGGCTTTCTATCTTCTTGCCACCTTTCGCGCGTTTAGTGGCAATGCCTTGTTGGTCAGGCGCGGGTTCAGTCCACTGGCTGGGTCATCTCCGCGTCCGCACGGTGCGTCTTAACAACGACGCAGCAATCACCTATCCGCGTGTCTCTGCAAAGATTGCCGCTATCAGCTACTTTGTGTTTTCCCCCCGTTCTTTTTTTCTCGCTTTTTGAGGTTACCCTGCACGGAGTTGAGCTTGACAGTCACGAGTCACGACGCTGACAGCCAGGCAACTCCGCCTTTTGCATCCAACACACAACTAACCTTGCGGCAACGCCCAACGTGCTTGGCCACAAGAGGAAAGAACGAAACACATATAGAGGAAGAGAGAAATAGAAAGAGAAGTGAAGAACAAGAGAGTCTTGCGTCTCGGCATAGACTTCTCCTAGCAGACTCTTGCTCTGTTCCCCAAGCTCCCGACCCTGGATTGGGGTGCGTGCCCCTGGCTTGTCTCTTCTCTGTCTTCATCTGCGTCTCAAGCTTGTGAACTAATGACGAGAGAAACGATATGATAGGACATGGATGTAACCCAGTCCAAGGAGAGCATGAAACAAAAGGACTACAATAAAATCAAATGAGAATGCGTCCTTGTCTTCCTTGCGTTACCTCTCTTAGTAAGATAACTAAAGAAAAGCAGAAACAATGCCAAGGAAAAGGCAAGGACGTTGATTTTCTGGATTCTTCTCCGTGAATGAAGGTAAGGGAAGAGGGTCCCATCTTATACTCCCTTTCCCGAAGCTCGCAGCATTCTGTGAGACGGGCGTGCGTTTTCTGCGGCGGGCGCAGTGTGGATGCTATGGGTTGCGTGGCTCACTTGCAAGCGTTGCAAGGCGAAAGCGAACCGTTTGCGGAGATCGTGCGTGTCGAAGCGCTTTCGCTGTGGCAGGTGTCCTCAGCGCTTCCAAACCCTCTGCGGAAATTGTGCGCGTCGAAGCGTTCTGGCCGTGGCGCCGTGCGAAGGGGTCTTCAGCTCAGCGAGCCCTCTGCGGACTATGCGGAGATTATGCGTGTCGGATCGCTCTCGCTGTGGCGCCGTCTTGAGCTTGGCGAGCCCATTGCGGAGATCGCGCGTGTCGAGGATCTCCCGGTATGGCGCCTGCAAATGTGTCTTGAGGCGTGTCGAAGCGCTCTCGCCGCGCAATGCAAATGTGTTTTGGTCGCGGCTCCGGCTGCAAAATCACAGCTCTTAAGTGCAAAAGTAGCACGGGAAGTGCGCTCCGGCAGATCCGGCTCGAATTCGCAAAGTTTTCATTGCAAAGGTAGTATAAGGGAAGCGCGCTTCCGCATGAAAAGTCGCAAGTTTGAAGTACGCTGCGTGCAGATATGGGCGAGAGAGGTTGACGCATGCTCAGCGCCGCGCGAAGCGTCACGCGCAGCATCATGTGCAGCATCATGTGCAGCATCATGCGCAACATCACGCGCAACATCCTGCGTAGCTTCACACGCAGCGTCGCTTCACGGCATCGCGCGCAAGAGAAGTTGACAGGAAAGGTTGTGAAACATGATGCTCGCTCATCAGGACTTGCAGAAGCTTTGCGAGAGCAGAGACGTTGACGTGTTCAAGTTATGTTGCTCCTTAGGCAAGGGAGGCCTCAGAGTTTATCAAACGTGTGTCGATGCTTCCGGGCCACGCATCATCAAGGTAACGCACGCTCAAAACTATTTGGGCCTGTTGCGGTCAATGGTTTTCAGCATTCTGGCAGTGTAACACGTTCTGACATGTGTATTGCTTGCTCTCTTCTTCTTGTCTGTTGCGTTGATCTTGCCGTTTGTTCATGCGTTCTCCCGCTGGCTTGTAAGATACTTGTGAGAAACTTGTTTGAGGCTTCGTCAGCCTGCGAATTCATGAGTGCCACATGGTTTTTGTCGTGAATGCTTGCCAAAGAGGCGACAACTTTCCAAGTCAATCTTGGAGTGTGCTAATGAGGGCCATGGGCCACGAAGGGGCAAGCCAGACTCAAAGCGGTTGCTGTCAGACTTCACTGCGACATGATTGATTCATTGATGTGTGAGAGTTGTGGCGCAGCTTCAGCTTACGAGATGCTTGCGCCAAACGCCCGATGCCCTGTTTGTACAGAACCGTTGCTTTCCGGGCGCGCTGTCAAGATGAAGCTTGATGCCAGGAAGGCGCCGCAGAGCGCTACAAGTGTGCTAAGTTGCCAACTTGCAACTTGCATGCAATCTCCCAGGTTTGCGGCGTGACCTTTGTCATTGCTAGGCAGGGCCCAGTGGGCCAGGTTCTGGAATGTGCAGGGTCAGCGTGCCACCAAGCGCACGGAATTCAATCCCTCTCACGCGATGGTGGTGCGCAGAAATGGCAACACAAGACACAAAGACAAGGACATAGACATCCATATGCAAGGCTTCCGCAAACCACACGGCTGGGCTGACGTGCCAGGACTACAGCATGCACAGGCGCACGGGCACGCGCGCGCAGACACACGCACACAAAGATGCGCGCACGAGCACACGCGCGTACACAGATGGAGCCAGCTCAGAGGCTCCTGAAACACGTACTAATAAAGCGTAGATGCCGCGACATGGCCCGCCGTTGCTTGCCAGTACCCACTTTGCCCGCTTGCCCCGATGCTTAACGAGAGAGGGCGACTAGCGTGACCCGAGCATTCGTCGCGGTGCCACCCGCCTGCGCTTGCCCAAAGGCACAAGCGAGCGCACGCGCAAGCGCAGGCGCTGCGAATGCGCACGAAACAAGGCGCTTGGGAGCTTGCAAAGAAATGGCAACAACTCGAAAGGCATGCGCGACACGCCGTTGACTTGAACAAATTCTTGCGGCGAAGGTGTCGGACTCGAAGTGCGAGAAGATGTGGTGACTCAGCTGAATGGCAGGGCATGGCAAGAGTTTATGAAAGCTGAGCGAGGTAGAGAAAAGCCCCGAGCTCTGGACGTCACAGACAGAGCGACATTTTGCCCAACCCAACGAGGTATCCGCTGATGACCCTCCGGACATATGCAGCCACATTTGCGGAATCCAACTTGTGAGTGGTGCAGGAATCGGCAGAGAACACCATTGGAATTTTTAGCCTCTCGCCAAGTACTGGATGTTGGCCACACACTTGGAGATTGTACTCTTCAGGATGATGCGAGCAGGTTGGACCCATATGCTGTTCTCGGCATTCCTTTCCTCTCTGGGTGCAGTGCTCGGAAGAGAGATCAAACATGCTGTGCCCAGTGACGGGGTTGCCGGTCTCAGGCGACGGGCGATCCGACAGGTGCGAGCCATTGATTGCCATTCGCTTTCACTCCGCACGTTGCGCAAGGCCTATGCCAACTGCTGCAGGGAGCACCACCCGGATCTGAATGGCGGGCCATTTGCTTGTGCGTCGTGCGTCGCTGCATGCGCATTGCGCCACGCCATAGGCGTGAGAGTTTGGCAAGGGGCTTACTGACATGTGCCAGCGCAAGCCAGTTTGGACACGTAGCGCTTTTGTGTGAGCAAGAAAGGAGGAAACATAGGAGCACAAGAATCGTCACATCGGCGACGAGCTTCAAGCGGATCACAATGCTCTGGGTGCAAGTGAGCATGTCCCTGGCGCCTTCCCACCATTTCACGTCGTGCCTGTCTTTGCTGAGGAGTGGATGATGATTCAGCGTGCGTATCGAATACTGACGGTTTGGGGCTGTGCGCATTCCGCTGCAAGAAGATCTCCTTTTGCGTGAGGACCCAGAAGAAAGAGTGTACTACGATTCTGCTGTTGCCTTTTACAGTCTTGGAAGCCACACTAACAGCCTTGCGTCCCCTAGGCGAGAATAGCTCGAAATGCTCTGAGTGTCACAGAGGCGCTGCAAGCGCTGCTTCCTTTCCAAACAGATTGGATTTCGTTATATTTTCTTTGTCTACTCTGCTTTCTGTCTCTGCCTTGCGTGTTGCCTTGAAGGGAGTGGCTGCCTTTGCCTGGGCTGCGGCGCAGCAGATGGGCGCCGTCGTGTCTGATGCTGCAGAGGCACGCTCCAAATTCCAAATGTGCCGGAACTTTCATGCTTCCGGGTCAGACCGCTCGACATACCGGCCTTTCTTGTTGTCGCGCGCAAGTGCCGTGCTTGCAGGTTTTTCCTTAGCTCGAATTTCCTCGGTCATGTGGGAGAGGTCCCAGCCAGACACAAGAGGGGGCCTTTTGCTTGACCTTGTTTGCTCCTGTTTTTACAGGAAAGCGAGCCAAGAAAGCGCATGGAAAGTATGCCGAAGTGGTAATGCTTAGAGCAACAAGCGCCTGAAAATAGAGGCGCGATCAAAAATTGGCCAACGTAGCTTCTTGCTTATGCGCACGACAGCTAGACAAGAAATCACAGCAAATGCTTTGTCAAAGGGAAGTTGACTCGAATCGAAGATCAAGGTCACTACCCCCAAAACACTAAGAATGGTGAGTCCCTACCATCGCAGTCGAGAAGTCCCACGCGGGCGATAAGCCACTTTGGACGCATCTCAAATAAAAATGCAATTTACAGAACACAGTTTAGCCGGGGGGGGGGGGGCGGACCCGATGCCAGGCCATATGTTGCAATCTTGGAGCAGCAAGGCAATGAGGAAACTGGAATGTTTTCCCTACACGCAAAGCCAACCTTTCTTGGCTGTCTTGTCCCTAGTGGAGCTGACAGTGTTTTGCGCACACATTGTGCGAAAGTGTTGCCTGACATCTAGTGGAAATACCCGCGCTCTTTCTCAAATAAATGCATACCCACAGGGATGGCAGTACACTTTGTGTGGGCATTACATCATGATGACTTTGCGGTTACTTGCATCAACGGGAATCGATAGGACATAGGGGTGCCTGCCCTACAGTAGGGCATTCCTTCCGTGAACTGCGGACCTTGCATGATTTGGCTCAAGAAAAAGCGCGCTCCCCGACTCGGGTCGATTCCCTTAAAAGGTCCCGGTGGGTGTTTGGCTTTGCAATTGTTTTCTTGTGAGAGGGGACTAGGTTAGTGTCTTGTTTCGTTGCTGCCGTTGTGTCTTGGCAAGTTTTGGGTTTGAGGGACTTTCACGCCGCGAACTACAACTGCATCTCGTATTTGGAATCTTGATCGGACGCTTGATAACGTTTACTGCAGGGTACCACTTGCAAGTTTCTGCGGGTTACCAGCCGTACAGCTAGAGGCGGCGGTGAATCTCAGAATCTCAGACCTTACAACTTTCTTGAGAAAGTATATGCTCAAGACTCATCGATCCCGACACAGAGGACAACCGGACAGGCCATCGCAGGTTCAATATAAGCAACGGAAGCTTGAACGTGCGTACGAGGCGGGTTTTCAGGACGCGTTGGAATGGGTGCAAGAAGTGCAGACAGAGCAAGCAGACGACGAGCTGGAAGAAGTAGAGGTCGAGACAGAGGTACATCCTTGGCGTGCGGACGGGGCAACAAGTGGCAATCACAGCTATGCTTGGTTCAAAACGTCACAGGACGAGAGTCATTGGTGTTTGGCGGAGTTGGACATTGTCGAAGATCCGGTGATTCTTGAATCGAAGGGGCAGCCGGACATCCCTGACTTGGCAGCAGACTCGCCCGTGGAGGACATCAGCCCAGACGTGGAAACGCTTGAGGTTGTTGAAGTACCAGCGCCATCAATCAATTCACCAGCCCTTGGTGATCCACAACACGCTGGAACATTTCGAACACCTGTGATGGAGGCAGTGAAGCGGCTGGAGGATACGGGAGTTGCCATCCGGTGCCTGTCGTACGTGGGCGCAGCATTTCGGGAGCAGACAACGCGTGGGTGTCAGGACCATTGTCACACACACCTCTCGAATTCGTGTGTCGTAAATGGTGGCGTTCAGCACGCCGACGAGACGGGCGCTCGGACAAGACAAAGGCACAGAGAGTCCTTGAGCTTGGAGCAACCGCGCTGTGCGACGACGCCCGGGGCATCCTGGACGAACTGTAAGAGCGGTGGAACCGACTTTTGGGCCCGAGGCTGGCCCCGTGGACGATACAGGTCAAGAGCGCGAACTCTGCGTCAACGAGCATCCAGCTGCTGGTGGGACGGATCCGAGCTGCGAAGACACTGCAAAGCGCCGGAGAGCGCAGCAATTTGTGGCTTGCGATCAAACACCTCTCGGACGAGTGATATAAGGTGGTGGAGTGGAAAAGTCAGGACCGCCAGGGTACAATCAGAAGGGGTATATGCAAGAGGAGAGTCCCAAACGCTTAGGTAAAGAAAGAGGTGGTGACTCAGCCAGACAAAGGCTAGCATAGGCCTTGATCAAGCCGCAAATGCAAGCATACCCGTGGCATGTGAGACACAACACTCTGAGATTGAGCCGAACGGCGACGCTCTTGTGTTGCAGCAACACGACGAAAGTGTTGCAAAGATATGTGAATCGCAGCATCATGATGCAGAGCCGGATGGCGATGCTCATACGTTGCAAACGCACGATGAAGGTGTAAACAAGATAGCCAGACAAGCCGAGAACATTGTGGGACGCCTCAGTGTTGCAGCATGTGCCACTCACCAGTGCTCGACCTTCTGCGAAGAGTGCGTGGAGCGAACATATGCATGTGTTTGCTTGCAATTACCATCGCATTGCACGAACCCGAACGGGGAAGGCAGTGTAGCAGACAGCGCTCTGAGAGCGTGCCCTGCAAAAGGTGCAGAACCGAACGGTGAAGCGCCGAAGAGAGACAGTTGGGTGTATGACAAGGAACAAGGCAACCTGATTCGCATTCATGTTTGCGAGCGGAAAGGGTTCTTCAATCCGAACGGAGTGAAAGAATGTCCCGTAGACCTAGCCCTGTTTGCCCCAACTAGGACCGCGACAATGCGCACCATGCGCGGGAAGCAGCATGAAGTGTTTCATCGCAATTGGAGAAAGAACAAGCTATCGCGAGCGCCCACGGGTGCCCGATGGACCGGACAGACGGTTTTCAAGATACTTGATGAAGTGGAAAACAGGCAGTGGAATCTCATATCAGACATGCCATGAAACAGTGCCAATCTGTGAGGAGCACCGCCGCCCAGGAATTCATCGACAAGATCGACCAGACCATTGAGAGACTAGACCAAGAGTTGCGTGGATTGAGAGAGAGCCTCAGCGAAGATGTTGCCGCTCCGCACATTCAGGTGACACAGAGCGGGCTGATGGAGTTTTGCACCACTAGCGATTCTCCGTTGGGTAAGGCAGCAGAAGCCTATGGCGTCAGGGTGACACGTAGCACAATGAATCATAATAATGGTTTGGACGATAAGAACACGGAATCCATGCTTGCAGAAATCGAGGGAGAAAACACAATTGATCTGTGGGGAAGCGTCCCATGTGCACCATGGTCCCAATATCAGCACTTGCGCAAGAGCCCCTATGGGAAACCGTATCTCAAGAAGCTTCAGGCAGCACGACGTGTGTCCAGAAAGCTGTTGAGAAACTTCTGCAAGTTGGCACGCGCCGCCCGTGGCAAGGGCCGTATTGCATTCGAGTGGCAACTATCCGAATTGCAGAAGCTCATTATAGAGTTGCGCATGTACACCATCGACTTCGACGGTTGTGCCGTAGGAAGCAAGGATTGCGCAGGCAATCCGCATCTGAAACGTTGGAGGGTCGAAGGGTTTCAAGCATGCCGTCATAGCAGATGCCAGCACAGCTAAGACAGCGAGATATCCTCCAGAAATGTGCGAAATGGCTTGCAGTGCATGGTATCCGAGCAAAGTGCATGGGCAAGTGGTAGCAATGCCATGCAGCGCAGTGACCCATCAATGCGAACATCGTGAGCGGGAGCCAAACCCATTCACGGCCAAGCATCTCCCAAGGGCTCTCGTCGCCGCAGCGGACTCAGATGCAGATTCTGAACGCGATGGTGCCCGAAGGTGTAGCGAGAAGGTTGAAGCGGGGCGGGAAGCCGCAACCCTCGAGCATCAGGCACTGCACTCCAAGAAGAACAATCAGTGTGACATTGCCTTAGGGGTAGGATGCTAGGTAAATACAAACATTCTAAAAGATGTGTGGACCCCGATGAACCCGTAGAGTACACTCAGCCCGATGCGTTTGGGAAACTCATTCAAGGGGAGAATGTGATATAGCTGCAGAGCATGCTGGGATGGATGGTGAACAAACAGCGTTGCTGCTAAGAGACCATTTCTCAGGGCTATCCATCGCATACCCACAGACGGACAAAAGCGAAGAAGCGAACTATTTGTGAAGAATGTCGCAGGTGCGGCGCTGAACGGCAGGACGGACACGATCTTCAAATCAGACACAGCTGGCGAGCTCACACATGCCGCGCAGCGGATGTGCTGGAACGTTGACCCCGCTCTCGCCCTTTCATGGCCGCATACTTCCTCACGTGAAAGGGACATACGGTCTCTGAAAGAAGCCTCCAGGCCATCGCATTTGCAGGCAGGTTTCTGGAGGAAGTTGTGGCCTGTGTCAGTTTCATACACCTTGAAGGAGATCCTTTATGAAACCAGCACCCTTGTATGATCATGAAAAAGGCACCCCAGTAGAAGACCAGAAGAAAGGTAAGACCAAATGGGAAGTTGCAACAGGACATCCGTTTCTTGGAACGATATACCATTTCAGAGCCCTGGTTTACTACTACCATCGAAGCTCAGATGGCATGGCTGCACCAACCGCCAGACCTGGCATCTTTGCCGGCTGGAAGCTAGCACCAGGACTAAGGTATACAGTTCAGATTCTAGACTATGAATCCCAGACAATTGTCACACAAGTGTTGGGTTCCTCGTGATGTGCATCAAAAAGAGGTATATTTTCCTCCGCTTGTGCACATAGAACACCCACTGCAGAACGCCGCCAAAATCGCATTAAAAGATGTGACCGACCCAATGCATGAGCTTAGGAAGGCCGCTTTTGAACGATCTTTGGAAAAGGGCGTACTACCGTACGAAGTGACAATTGACGCATTGCCCTATGCCGAACCAAGTAAGACAAAACCGAAACATGCGTACATCACGTTCAGTCGCCTTATGAAACATGGTTTGACGAAGGACTGTTCTGGTT